AAAAAAAAAAAAAAAAAAAAAAGAAGCTGGATACAGAAACTACCTATTATGTGTCCAGTTAAAAGAAGTTATCTTTTTTAAATGTTTTATTAGCAAACTATACATACACATGAAATTATTATTAATATCCATACACATGAAACAGAGAAATTATTAATGAAGAGAACACATGTATACCTACCAGAAAGAGAACATTACCAATGTCTTTGGAACCCCATACATACACTTCCAAAATTTTACCACTCTGCCTCCTAGAAAAACATACACAAACATACCAACACACATACACATACACACACACCAAACATTTAGTGATGATATTTCCTTGGTTTTCTAGGTAATATTTATTGTATTTATATGTCCTATGTATTAGTCTTTCATAACATAACATAAACAGAGAACAGTGAAAAAATACCAAATAACCAAATCTATGTAGGTAGGCAAAGAGAACACAGCTTATAAACACCACTTGGGTGGAGAATGAAACATTGTCAGACTTCCAGAAGAATAACAGAGATAATTCCCTTTACCACCTCCCATCACAATGCCTTCCTTTTCCTCCATAGCTAATCACTGCCCTGCCCCCTAACACTTTAGATCGATTTTGCAAGTTGCAGAGCAAAGGAATAAAAGAAATCCTGTAACTATTTCTTCTCTACTTGGAATGCCAGGTGGGAGTAAATGACCTCCTTATAAAAGTGCTAATGTCGTTGGTAATAACTCTTTGTAAACATGCTAATTGTTATCACTGTCTTACCAGAGCATAACTTGTCTAGCTTGATTATTCTAAATAAACCTAGAAGGACAGACTTCAGGAGAGATGTGTGAGGCTCTGGGTGAATACTAATCCCTGTAAGACAATCATTTATTTTATTTTATTTTATTTTCCTTTTTTTTTTTTTTTGTCTTTTTTCGTGACCGGCAACGGATCGCAACCCTCAGTGTCACGCCCGCACCGGACCGGGACCGGCATCGGGATCGCAACCCTCGGCGTTGCGCCCGCACCTCGCTCAACCAGTGAGCGGCCGGTGTGTATGTTGGATCCGAACCCTCGGCGGGAGCACCAACACACTCCCAAGCTGCGTACTGTAGCAGTGCGCCACCAGGCTGGCCCTAAGACAATCATTTAACTGGTGGATATTATATCAAAAACATTTGAAGTTTCTGGAAGTTAAGGGCACATAGCAAAGAGAAAAAGAAACATTCAATAAAATCTACTAAACCTTGGTAAGAGCAGTAAGACTCTATGACTGTGACATTTGAGTTATGGTCTGCTCTCATGCACCCTCCGTCCAGCTCTGTTCCAGAATCTCTACTGCAGGAAGTGAAGCCAAGAAGACAATCACTCCCTCCCCTCACAGCATACAATGTAGGGCTCCAAATTCACCTTGGGAGGACAGGCTATGTCTCTCATTCACCACCTCCCCTACAAGCCCTCTGCTGAAGAAGCTCTATTCCAGGAAAGCACAGTCAAGATGACTGGGGTACATTGTTCTCACCTAACTCCCACATGTAGAGAAAGGGCTCTGCCCTAGGAGATAATTTCCCTCTCCTGTGTGTCTTCTTGGGCAGAAGTTGAGTTTTGGTGAAGACAAGCCAAAAAGGCCAGGGGCTATCACCTTCCCCCGCCAGTGCCCACTCTTACAGCAGAGATGTCACTCTGGCAGATGTGGATCTCTATACCCTGCCCTAACTAAAACTCAGGAGTAGTGAGATTTTGCTTAAGGGAAGAAGTAGGCTCTATGGACTGGTATATCTGCAGCTCTGCCTAAGGGTACTGACTTTGTATGGGACAGAATGTGGACAGTTCATGCCCAAAGGCTTCAAAAGCAATGGAGACATTGGTGACAAAATATTAAGGGGCTCACGGCTCCATGGAAGTAGTAGCAACAGGGAAATTGTAGAGTAGCCAGAAAATTAACAGAGAGAACCAGAGAAAGAGAAAGCCAGGAAGGGCCTATTTGTGATCACACTTATGCCTGGGGGTCCAGAAGGATGTTTGCATGTTCTAGGCTGCATCCACTGAGAAGTTATTGGAGCAGGATGTGGAGGAAGACTTTAAAGCATTCCCAAATCACGAACAGGTCAATCAGCAAAAGGTAAAAACCTCAATGGCTCAAGTTGCTTAAACATAATCTGACTAATCAGGGGCTGAAAAATAAGATATTCTGACCCCGGGGGATTCCTATAACGCCAAGCTGAAAAATAAAATTATATTCGGTCTGTTCTTTCTGATGCTAAAAGATAAAACTTTGAAACTGGAATCATGAAAGTAGTCTCCAAGCAGCAAATAGATCCAAAAGTAAAGGATGAACATTTTTCCACTTTAGGGGCTCAAGTACAACCTTTCACCAACAAGTGTTTTCTACCGATAAAGGGAGGATTCCTAGGAAGCCAGGCTAAAAAGATAAAAACATAGAGAAAATCTGAGCAAGGATATCAGAACCTGCACTATGCAGTAGAAACAGACTTCCACTCAGGTCACTCAACAAACAGTAAGCCTGTTTGGAGATTAATATCCATATTTAAAATATTACTAATATGTCCAGTTTTTAACAACAACAAAAAAAAAACCTGAAGACATGCACAGAAATAGGAAAGTGTGACACATATACAAAAAAAAAAAAGGCAAACAATAGACCATGCCTTTAAGGGAAACTATATGTTGGACTAGTGGAAAAACACTTTATAACAGCTATTACATGGGGAGTTATTGTTTAATGGATCCAGAGATTATGTTTACAATGACAAGAAAGTTTTGGAAATAGAGGTGATGGTCACACAGCACTGTAATTGTAATTAATTTCACGAATTGTATGTTTAAAACTGCTTAAAATATCAAACATTATGTTACATACATTTTTACCACAATGAAAGATATATGTATATCAGCTTCAAGTAAGTAGAAAGATTAAGTGTGTTTAACTGAAGAGTAACTTTTACATATTCTTTAAGATCATTAAATTAAAAAATCAGCTTTGATAAATAGGTTCAAAGTACTAAGTAAAACTATGTTTAAAGACTTAAGGAAAATGTGATAACAATGAGTAATCAAATAGTGAATATCAATTAAAAACAAATCCAGACTTAGATACGGAGAGACTTTCATTAGAAAAAAAGGAAAAGAAATAATTAGAAAGAAAGGGTAATAGGGAGAACACTCCGATCTCATTCTTTGCAAGTACATATAAAACATTGTCAAGAATAGATGATACATTAGGCCTAAAACAAAGCCAAATTAATTCAAAGGAAATGTAATAAAACAAAGTATGTTCTCTGACCACAACGGACTTAAGTTGGAAAACAACAGAAGGAAAATAGAGAAATTTACTAACATGTAGATATTAAACCACACTGTGAAAGAACCAGTGGGACAAAGAGTAAATCACATGGAAAATTTGAAAATCTTTGAGATGAATGAAAGTGCAAACAAAACATAACAACAAATTAGGGGATGTAGCTGAATAAACAATTAGAGGAAAATTTATAGCTGTAAGCATCTATGTTCAAATAGTGAAAAAGATCTCAGATAAATAACTTTACCCTAACTAGAAAAAGAAAAGTAAATTAAAACTAATAAAAGCAGAAGATAGAAAAAAATAAAGTTTGTAGAAGAAATAAACAGACAACATAAAAGAATAAAAACATCAATGAGAGCAAAAGTTGATTCTTTAAGTATCCCAACACAATTGACAAATGTTTAGGTAGACTGACAAAAAAAAAAAAAAAGCTAAAATAACAAAGGTCAGGGATTAAACAGAGGAAATCACTCTCAAATTTGCACAAATAAATAAAGGCTTATAAGAGTTTACTATAAACAACTACATGCTAACAATTAGATAACTTTCACAAAATTGACCAATTCCTAGAATGGCATGAACTAATCAACTTCTTCAAAAAACAAAACAAAACAAAACAAAACAAACAAACAAACAACAACAAAAAAAAAACCCAGAACTTCTGGATAGAAGTATAACAAGTAAAGATACTGAATTAGTAACTTGAAAGTAATATCTTCCCATGAAGAAGAGCCCATACCCAAATGGCTTCACTGGAAAATTTTACAGAACACTTAAAAAATAAATAACAGCGATTCTTCACAACATGTTCCAGAAATTTAAGAGGAGAGAACACTTCACAAATCATTCTATATTGCCAGTACTACCCTGCTACCCAAACCAGACAAAGACATGACAAGAAAAGTATAGACCAGTACCTCTTATGAATACAGATCCAAATATCCTTGACAGTAGACCAGCAAACTAAATCCAGCAACATAAGAAAGGATTATACACTATGACCAAGTAGGATTTATGGTAGGAATACAAGATAGTTTCAATATCTAAAAATTAATCACTGTAAAACACCATATTAACAGATTAAAAAACTAAAATCATATGATCATTTCAAGATATTCAGAGAAACACATGACAGTATCCAACACATTTTCATAAGAGAAAACAAACTAGGAATAAAAGAGATCTTACTCAACCTGACAAAATGCATCAACAAAAAACCTATAGCTCATATTGTACTCAATGAGAGACTGTATGTTTTCAACCTAATATCAAGAACAAGATAAATATGTCCACACTGACCAATTTTATTCAATATGCGTTAGCCAGAAAAAGACAAAAGGTATACAGATTGGAAAGAAAGAAGTAAAACTATCTCCATTGACAGATAAAACTAAACTATATAAAAAAATCTAAGAAATCCAGTTAAAATTAGAACTAATAAATCAATTTCACCAAGGATGCAGAATACGAGGAAATACTCAAAATACATTATATTTCTATATAGTCAATGAAAAGCCAAAACTGAAATTAAGAAAAAAAATTGTTTACATCACAAGATATTAATTACTTAGTAATATATTCAATTAAACAAATGCAAGACTTACAGATCAAAAAGCACAAAACAATGTAGACATAAATGATTAAAGATTTAAATAAATGAGAAACAATCACATTTATAGATAGCAAGAATAAATATTTTTATGATGGAAATACACCAATGGGAAAAGAATGTTTTCAATAAGTGGTACTGGGACAACTGGATATCGACATGCAAAAGAAAGAAGTTGGACCCTTACCTCACATCACACAGAAAAAGGAACTCAGGTGGATCATAGATCTGAATGTAGCTGTTACAGCAAAAAGGCTCCTGGAAGAAAGTACAGGAATGAACACGTGTTACCTTAGGTTAAGCAATGATTTCGTAATCATGACAGCAAAGCACAAGCAATAAAAGACGGATAAGTTGTAATTCATCAAAACTGAAAATGTTTTTGTTTCAAAGAACATCATGAAAAGGCAATTCACAGAACGAGACAAAATCTTTAGAAATCATATACCTCATAAGGGATCTTTATACAGAATATGAAAAGATCTTTCGCAGTAAGAAAAAGACAATCCATTTTTTTTTAATTGGCAAAGAATTCCAATAGGAGTTTCTCCAAAGAGGATATACAAATGGTCAATGATCACATGAAAAGACGTCAAACATCATTAGTCCTTAGGGAAATGAAAATCAAGCCCACAATGGTATATTACTTCACATCCAAAAGAATTAGTATAATCAAAAAGACAGATAACAGGTATTGGTGAGGAGAAATTGAAACCCTCATATACAGCTCCACAGTATGGTAATTCTTCAACAAGTTAGACAAACAGTTAGTATATGACCCAGAAATTCCAACCTTACCTGTCCACTCCAGACAACTAAAAACATGTGTCCATGCAAAAACTATATCTGATTGTTCATAGCACCATGATTCATTACAGCAAAAAGTAAAAACAACCCAAATGTCTGTCAACAGATGAATGAACAAACAGAATGTGATAGATCCATATGATGGAGTATATCTGCCATTAAGAAACCTGAAATACTCATCATTCTGAATCTTCGTAAAAATCAAGAAAATTAGGCTGAAGTTATTCTCTGCACAAAATAATGTATACTTGTCTCTCCTTGCTCCTTTCCACTAGGTACAGCCAAAAACACTGGAAATAATTCAAAACACCACTAAAAAGAAAATATGAACAGTGGTAAGACGAGGGCAGGCTTCTAAGTGGAGGCAAAGTGAAGGAAGAACAGAGCAGCAGGCATTTGATGACCACACACCCTACAAAAGAAGGTGACCTAGACCTGGTATTTCTCAAAACCCAGCACCGCAATGTAGTTTGGCCCCTACAGGCTCATTTCTCCCCTGGATCCAAGAAGAATTCTGCCCACATTGTAGGACCATCCAACTAGAATCAGAAAGAGGCGTGTTATTTTAAATACTGATGACAATAAAGAGCCAAGGAATGTAAACTAAGAACTGCAGGAAGAAGTGAAAAGCTCTGATTAAGTAAAATATGTGAATAAATACACAATTATTAATTTAATTCATAACTGAGTAGATTTTCCTACGCTGTTCAAGCAAAACATCACAACAAAATAGAATTCCCATCTTCAACTATGTTATCAATGGTCCACCCTGAACAGGCTGTATGTAGCTAGTTAACTCAAATCACCATCACATGCTGTCCAAAACGGCACAGTTCGAAGCTGTTAATTTTGTACTCACTGTTAGTAAGAGTGCACCCTCCACCACACCACAGTGTTAGTGGAGAGCAGGTAGAAAGTCTGCACTTCTACTCTCTGGGAATTAATGATATACTGCTCCACTTCTTGCTGACGTGCCGTCAGAGGAAGCTCAGAGAAGAGTAACAGTTTTCACCACAGCCCATGGTAAAGAAGTCACTCTATATGGTGTGAGTAGTATGCCCATGAGGAGCTGTGACCTGCCACTCTCAGTGGAAGCCTAGTGGGGGGACAGAACTTCCAACCCTGCGCAGGAGTAACGAGGAACATCCCCCACTCAGGAGTCAATGGAGGCCAAGGGTTGAACGTGGACTTCTACAATCACCTGGCAACAGAGGCCGTGCCTTCACTTTTCCCTGCTGATGTGGTGCAAAGGAAATAATCATTGATACTGAAGGCAGAGAAAGAGTAATTACCCAGTCAGGAAACAGAAAGGAAATATGAGTAAGGGCGTGGGTAGGAGAACAAAGTCTCAGAGACCTGTGGGTCAACAACACAGGTTCTAACATTCCTGTCATTAGAATCCCATAAGGAGTGGACAGAGTACAGTACTGCGAATACTTTTAAAAATAATGCCTGAAAACTTCCTAATGTGTCAAACAAAATCTATACATACAAGGCCTTAACCAAATTCTCCCAGGATCAACCTGAAGAATTCCAGACCAATACACATCTTGAGTAAAATTCTGAAAACTAAAGATAAAAAAAGAAAAATATATATTGAAAGCAGCAAGAGAGAAATGGCATCTTACTAATAGAGAAAAAATTACAACAACATTCAAATTATGTTGAATTTATCATAAAAATCCTGGGAAGTTAGACGAAAGTGCAACATTTTTCAAGTGCTGAAAGAAAAGAAATGTGAAATTCTAAACCCACTGGAATGATCCTAAGGTATCAAGTGAAAACCAAGACATTCTCAGATGACAGAAAACTAAGAGAATTTATTGTCAGCACAACTACCCTAAAATAATAGCTAAAGGAAGTTCTCTAAACAGAAAGAAAGAAAAAAATCAGAAATCTTGGAATATCCAAAAAGAAGGAAGGACAAGGTGAGCAAAAGACAGGTGAATACAATAAACCGAGTTTCTCTTCTTGAGTTTTCTAAATTAGGTTTTTCATTGGAAGTAAAAATTATAACATTTTCTTATGTGGACATCAAAGTATGAAGAAGTATTTAAGACAATTATATTAAAATAGTGGGCGGGTAAAGAGATGTAATAGGAGATAAGGTTTTTAACACATCACTAAAAGTTGTAAATTAATGACACCAGATTGTGATAAGTATACATATACATATATTTGTGTGTGTCTGTATATATATAAGGTTAAGTGTAATCAGTAAAATAGCAATGCAGAAAAACACACTCAAATACATTATCATAAATAAAAATAAAAAATCGAATTACAAAAAAATTTTTAAATACCCACAGGAAGGCAGACAAAGGAAAATGAAGAAGTAAAAACAGAGAAAACAAACAGAAAAAAAGTTATAACGCACTTAAATCCTAACATACACATAATAACATTAAATGAAAATGACCTATACAATTGTATAACAACTAAAAGACAAATATCGGCTGAGTTAATTAACAAAAAAATGACTCAACTATTTTCTGTGTACAACAAACTTGCTTCAAGTATAATGACATAAGCAGATTGAAATTAAAGGATATGAAAGATATGCCAAAAATTATCAAATAAAGCAGGAATGGCAATACTAGAATTAGATAATGCAGAATTCATAGCAAAGAAAATTACCAGAGACAAAGATGGACATTATATTATATAATAACAAATGGCCAGTTCAACAAAAAGATCTAGAAATCCTGAATATGTACGCACCCCAAACAGAGGTACAAAGAATGAGAAGTAAAACTGAGACACTTGAAAGAATAAATAGTTGAATTCACAATTACAGCTGGAGACTACAACCACTTTCTCTCAACAGTTGACAGAAAAATTACATAGATTCAGCAAAATTTCTGAAGAAATCGACACCATCAATCAACAGTATGTGTTCCACAATTACAGAGCACTGCACCCAACAACAGCAGAATACAAACTTGTTGCCATTGTCCATGGAACATACACCAAGACAGATCATATTGTCAAGCATAAAACAAACGTCAAAAAATTTAAAAGGACTTAAATCACAAGATTGTGTTCCCTGATCATAATAAAAATCAAATGGGAAATCAATAACAGAAACATAACAGGAAAACCTCCGAAAATTTGCAAACAAAAATATTCACTTGTGAATAATCCGTGGGTCAAATAAAATTCATTTTTAAAAAAGTCACTGAAATAAATAAAAAATAAAATATATCAAATCAACATTTAAAGTAGAAAACAGAAATAGATAGATAGTAAGCTAAAGAGGCGGAAACACTTCTCAATTCACTTTATAAAGCTACTATTATCATTATATCAAAATCAGACAAAAATGCATCACCAAAAAAAAAACGATCTACAGACACAAAACCACCAAATCCTTAACATAATGGCAGCAAATAGAACTCAGCAATATATAAAAAAGTTTATGCACCACAAACAAGCACATAATTCCAGGGATACACACAAAAAGGTAACCATGGAATGTGATGGGTATGTAAATTAGTTTGACTATAGCAATCATTTTGCTATGTCCATGTATATCAAAAAATCACGTTGTACACCTTAAATATATACAATAACTAAAAAACACAATTAATGTAAACTAACATATTAACGTGCTAAGAAATGAAAATAACATGAACACAGTAATTGATGAAGCGAAAGCAATTAAACAAATTTAATATCCATTTGTGATTAAACACTCTCAGAAAAGCACGAATACACAGGAGTTTCCTAAACTTGACGGAGCAGCTGCAAAATGGCTATGACATACATTATATATAATGGTGGAAAAATGAATGCTTTATAGGTAGGTTCAGGAATAAGGCAAATATGCCCATTTTCACCACTCTTTATTCAAAAGAGTGCTGGATGGTGAGTGAGGGCAACAAAGCAAGAGAAGGAAATAAAAGGCATAAAAACGTGAAAGGAAGAAAAAAAAAAAAAAAAAAAACTACCTGTACTAGCCTGTGTCGTGATGTGTACAGAGACAATCTCAACGAACAACGAAAAAGAACCCTTAGAAATAAGAAGTAAGTTTGGCATGGTTATGAGACGCAAGAGGAACATATAAAACTCGTTGTATTTCTATATACTCATGATAGACATATGGATAAGGAAATAAAAAATACAACAGCGTTTACAATTGCTTCAAAACTTAAATACTCAGAGTTAAATGTAACAAAGCATCTACTGGCATTCTATGCTAAAGTTACATTACACTGATGAAAGAAATCAAAGGTTATGGAGAGACAAATCAAACAAATGGACAGACATACTCTGCACATGGACTGAGGGCTAAACATGGTAAAGATTTAAACTGTCACCTAAGTGATATAAAGGTTTAATACAACTTCTAAGTAAATTCCAACAATACTATTTGGAAATATTCAGAATACTGTCCTAAAATTGATATAAACGGGAAAAAGAGCTAGAATACTTAACATTTTGAAATAACA